TTATATTTCAGTGTATCGTTTGGCGAACATTGAGCATCGAAGGACTTTGTTTGCTCCCCTGACGATATTTAATAGGGTAAAGGTATTGGTGGAGCCGGCGTGTACCCTACATTAATGTGCCAACATGATTCTATTTAAACTATGTTGGATTAAATATTAGGAGTTAACAATGCTCCACAAACATGTTCGTGATTGATTTCTGATCCACTTTGTTCAACACGCAGAGAAAATCTAATGGCTTAAGACAACAAATAATATTTTTGATCATCAGCAAACACATACAATTCATTTCAAGGCATTTTATTGTAGGAACAACTTGTAGAAAGTTTTGAAACAAAAATTGTGGATTTTTAATCTTAACATCAAAACTCTTAACAAAAATTATTGTTGATGATATGATATGATATGCTGATGATATCTTAAATTTTAACAACAGATCAACTTTTATTCTGCTTGTATTTTCTTTGAATGATAAGCTGTCAAATGCGGTCATTCTGTTCACTACCTCCCATCATAGTTTCAATAATTATAACAATTAGCGATGAAAATCATGAAATTATCTCCGTACGGTTAGTCTAAATACTTCCATGCGATTTTCTCGGTAAGTGTTCAAATTTGGTTCTTGGCATTAGCGTCCAAAGGGCAACCCAAATCCTTTGCGATATTGAACAGATGAAATCATGGTATTAAATATTACAGTTAACTCCATAATATGTAGCTCATCTAAATTCTAATGCGTCTCTCAAAACAGTGATCAATCGGTACCGATACTCAAGTAAAAGTTCGTAGTAAATAAACTTTTAAATAGTAAAAACAATGGCCGTTTTTGATATAAAAAAAATAATAAAATTGATTCCTAGCTGATTAAAAAGTATTCTATAAAAAAATAAAATATTCTTCATTCAATACATGAGATATTTTTGTTTCTAAAATATAGTTGCATGATTTTAAGAGAAAATATTTTTGAATCGGATACACGATTTTTGTTGATTTAAATATAAAGAATTATGAGCTGGTCATATACAAGAAGATATTGGGATAGCATGCATTTGACACATAAAACCTGTCAATTTCGCTTTCAGTGCGTCACAATCCGTGAATATATGACTCGTGAGCGTTCACTCAGAGTTAGCGCTCACGAATCGTAAATGCGAAATTAACAGGTTTTATGTGTCAAACACCTATTGTACAGAAAAGGTAACTTACAAGTACTAATTACACACTTAGAAAAATTCATGTAAATTTAGGTGCTCTGAGACTGACATATACGAGCGTCAATTTTGACATAAAATTGAGTCATAATGGATGCGAAATTCAGCTCAATAAAACATACTTTCGAAGCCATTAAATCCGACAAATGTCGCCCTGCCAGTGGTCCAGAAGGGTGCATTTAAGGGAAAAAAAAAATTAAAGTGCATGAAGATGAAGTGTATTCAATTTGGTAGAAGTTTTTAGTTGAAAGAATACACATATGATGAAGGGGTCGTTCATAAATTCTGCTCATGGGAACACCACTTGATATTTCGATATTTAAATATTCTACAAAATTGTGGAACTGATCATTTCCATAAACTTTGCTGAAGACGGAAATTTTCTAGCACGTCATTTTCTTTGAAATATAAGGCATTCTTTATGGAAGCCTCCTTGAAATCGATTTTTCGACTATAACTTTTTTGTTTGATATGCCCAAGGCAATCTCCAGAAAAGATTTTTTATTTTGTAAAAATACACAACTTTTTAGAAGAGAGCAACAGGTGTGGTTGTTGTTGCTCATCTGCACGCCCATGGGCTCTTGCCGAACAGCAAATTTCGTAGTGTCGTCACTTTCTGCTACGTATAGTTTCCAAGGCGAATATACACTCCACCCCTTTGAAACGATATGTTCTGCAACCTTGGATTTAAATTCATAATGAAGTCCTTTATTCATCTTTTTGCTAGCCTTTTTTACCTCTGCGATGTGTTCCTTAAACCTTGTTTTCAAAGTCCTTTTCGTCTTACCAATGTCGATATTATTACAATCTGGACAGTCCGCATCGTGCTCTCTTGCCGTGCGGATCTATTTGCTTTTTGCTGAAGGAAGTGTTACTACTACCTAAAGCTACAACAAATTTAAACAGCACTTTTCAGTGCTCAACCTGTAAAAATTTTCTACCTTGTTCAACTCTTATTCCTCTTCGATCCTTGTTTGGACCCTACCCGAGGTAATCCTTCTTGGATATCGATTTGGAAAATTCCTCTTCGATCCTTCAGATTCTTATAGTAATCTGCTTGGAAGTCGATTTGGATAAAAATTTACTGCCGCCATGGCGCCTAAACGCAAAAGAAAGGGGCAAACTCTTGACCCCCTTCTGAAGAAATTAATTTGAGTAATCAATTTGATTTGCTCACGGATGATGAGAATGATCCATCATCCAAGAAAAATTCTAGTAAACTTTCCCGGCTTAATGCCAAGAAGGAAAAGATTCCCCCTATTGTGATAACCACTTCCGATTTCCATGCTCTTCGCATGGAACTTTTGAACTTCGTGAAAGTTAAGTTTTCTCTACAAATTGGACGTCGGGGTGAATGCCGTGTATTGGCTGAAACCTTGGACGGATTTAAATGTCTTCTCAAGTATCTTACTGAGAAGAAGCACAAATTTTTACTTACGACACCAAAACTGAACGTGTGTTCAAGGTTGTCATGAAAGGACTGCCCAGTGGTGAATCCCTGGATCAGATCAAAGATGAACTGGCAAAATTACTTGGAGTTTTGCCTCTCCAAGTAATCAAAATGAAAATGAAATCCCGTCCTGGTGATTCGCGCAACGGGATTTCTAATGATTTTTATTTAGTTCACTTCAAGTCTAGTGAACTAAACAACCTTAAGGCCTTAGAAAAAGCTAGTCTTATGCTCCATGTCCGAGTGAAGTGGGAACACTTCAGGAAGATTGGAGGAAATTTCCAAAACCTCACTCAGTGCCGTAAGTGCCAGGGATGGGGTCACGGAACTAAAAATTGCTACATGCCAGCTAAATGCATGAATTGTGGTGATTCCTCTCACGCAAAGGACGACTGTCCTGTGAAGAAAGATCCTAAGAAATTTAAATTTTCAAATTGTGGTTAAAACAAAAAAAAAACAATTTTTGGGAATGTAAGACTCGCAAAGCGATCCTACAATCTCGTTCTAACCGACAGGTAAGAAACGCTCCACGTTTCCGACCAGGTACAAATTCCTCTGCTGTTAACAACGGTCAGCGAGGAACAAATTCTACATTCGTACCCGTAGGTACAAATATCACCCCTGCTTCAAATTTTTCATCTGTACCTACTCCCCTCGCTGCTAACAATGTTCAGCGAGTTAATTGAGCTACCTATGCTGCTATTGCAGCGGGTAGAAATCAAAATACTAACCAACGTTCTAACGGAAATTTTGACAATTTTGACTTAGGAAGCATTACTGCCCCTAAAATGGAATTTTTACAGAATTCATTAATTGACATGATTTCTGATATGCTTAAATCTAACTCCATGTTTGATGCTATTCAAACTGGAGTAAAATTTGCAAATAATATTGTCATGACTTTAAAATTCAGTAATGGATTTTAAAGCATTAAATATTGTTAAATGTCTTAGGGAAAGCCGGAGTCTACAAAATCTCTTGTCCAGATTGTAATAAAATCTACATTGGTCAGACGAGAAAAAAAAAAACAAAAGAATGAGCATTTATTCTGGTACTGTGTTTGGTATATTTACTAATTTGGGGCCGCTGAATCCGAATCTAATCTAATCAGACTTTGTTAAAATGATCTATTTCGTATCATAAAAATAATTTCATATGAAAATCTGATGTTCATTGCCTGCATTTAGGCGTATTTTTTTTAATTATTTTGTAACAAAATATGCAGTTTTTTGTGAGCCACATCTTTTGTTGATTTTTTTTTAAATATGTTTTAGAAAGTTGAGAGTTATTTGTTTGTGTGCCAAACATATGGAAGGAAAAATATTATGGTTTATCGATAAAAAGTGATCAAATTCTCTCCCATTTTTCGGTATTTATAAAGTTACATATGAAGCTTCCGTACAAGTAAATACAACAATCGTATCAAATTATGATTACTCCGCTGATATAAATCCAAAATTAAAACACGGGATCAAGAGTGTTCTCTCTCGTCAATACTAGGAGCATTTCCTAAGCATGTGCCATTCTTGCGTTCGTATATAGCATAACAATAATGTACGCAATAATAAAATTCCATAACCGGACCGTTAATCAAAACCACCACATTCAGCGCCAGGTTTTGCTGGTAGCCTCTTCTACTCTGACTACGCTAAATGCAGACGTCTTCGTTCACATGTAGCTGCCCGATGCTCCAGTCACGCAATTCACAAATATTAACCGTCATATCGACCCCTTGCTAACATTTCCCGCCAGTTGATCGTAGGATACTTACTCAAGTGAAACAAAGGAAAGCAAAGGACCACGCGGCACCAGACACCACGCGGTTCGTAATCTTGTCACGTGTAGCCATTCCGTCGGTGGTATTTTGGAGTGCATACCGATTCGAGTAAGTACATGTGATTCCTTGCGTCTGTGTTTTAACTGTTCAATATTATGCCACCTTTTATACCACGTGCAGATTATTCTTCATGGCCTTACCACTAAAATATATGTACCTAGGTTAGTTGTTACTGATATAAGTCTAACATAGTAAATCAGAATGAATGGTTGCCACCACGACTGTCAAGAAACATGTTCTACAAAAAGTTTATTCTCACCAATCGTGTGACGCAACTATGTTAGGAAAAAAAAAAAGAAAAGCAAATTATGTCGTTCTAAAATGTATACAAGCATGCGGCTGGTTTTTGCAATGCATTCAATGATCAAGTAGGGAAAATTTACGACCGATTGTGCCATTTCCCAATGCGTACAAATTTGTTTGTCGAAAAGCTTGTATCTTTTCACAAGTGGTTATGTAATGCAGTTTCACTTAATCGATTCAATACTTGTATCATTCACAGAATCGTTTGATTGCACTTGTCCTACTTGTGTGTATGCTGAGTGCGGCAGCATTTGCCAAAGGAGCCAAACGAAAACGCCTGCTGTACGACCTATCCGATCCCGTTGTGACGGTAACTGAATCCACCTCATTTTATCATCCTCCCTCCTTCCAATCGAACCTCTATTCTGCCCATGCCCCAGTCCTCGATCAGATAATCAAACCCTTTCCAAACCCTCTTCCATCCTACCACCCGAAGCCTTCCCTTTCCAACATATACAAGAACAATTACTTCGAATACTCAAACTATGGCTCACCGTTCCAATTCATCGGTGGAAACCACCTGGGATTTCAAGATGAAACGACTTACATCGCCGATGGTCGAATTTTGAAACAATACTCCGTCACAGAACACCACCCCGAAGAAATCGAACGAAATCGGGTGCTGCAATCCAACGAGTATCGCTCGACGCAGTCCTTCTTCGACGGTAGATTCCAACCCGTTCTCAATCAATTTGATTATTCGCCATATACAACCATTGGATTCAACCCACGATTCGGACTGCCACTTGATAGCCGTCATCACTCACCCTTGCTGACGCGAAACCACGGACCCGTGGCTCTCGGGTCCGGTTCGATTGGATATATTCACGGTCCCAATGGAGTTGCTATCGGATCCGGATCACTCGGCTACATCAGCCACAAGGAGCATCGAGAATCACTGCAGGAGCTGATTGAGCGAAAAAGCCGGAAGCACCGCCCTGGACCGCTGCACTTTGGCCATAACCACGATTGAAGATCGATTGTTTAAATTAAATTTTCAGTTATTGTTTACACTATCGAGGGCGTTCTTGAAAATAGAGGCTGTTCCTATGCGACAATTGCAACCGCAACCGCAACCGGAAAGAACGTAAGAGTTAATTAGCTTATTAGATTTCGAGATTGTTGTTTAGCATATAGATTGAATCACACGTGCCTAATATATAGTTACCAGTGGGAAGAAGCAGACATAGATCCAGCCGAGGGGATTTAGGAACGAACGAATTACGCTTTGTACAGTTGTATATATGTAGCTCCATGGTGACAGGAGACCGACGAGAGAGTTTTGTTTTTACGAAATCCTATATTCGACATGATAAGCTTTGATCACAAACATTGTTACGTCTAATAAAATTTTATTGAAAGTTAGCTTTACGAAACGAATAATGTTTTATTCGAATATCACAAGCCAGTCCATATTCACCTAATAATTAATCGTATCTTTGCATGATTTCCTATCTATCACCTTAGCGGATATCTTTTACTTCTAGCTGAATGTGAAATTTTGTTCAAGATCGCTAAATGGTTTGATATTGCACCTAGGGCGGTTCAAATGTCACTAGCATTAAAACCTAAATATCTCCGTTATAATAAAGAATTGAGGTAGGTATACCATAGAGGTAACTCTAAGACTAGAAGGTCCCGAAGAAACGTGCTCAACTTTTTGGCTCAGCTATGGTACTATCTTCGGTCTCAAACTAATCGATTCACCCCTCGAAACATAGGAAGATCCACTAGCCCCTCATTCTATCCAGGGGGTGCAACACATCTAAATCTCAATTTTAGATAGTCGGAATATCTCACGTTAGCAAATCTATCTACGAAAAATCTTTTTTCATCTCTTGCATTTATATCCATCTACTTGCATCGCTCTCCAACTTTTTGCAGGAAATCTTCAAAATCTTCATCAATCTTCTTTTTATCTACTAAGTGTGGACGCATCTCACAACAGCAAAGCGAAATTTTTCCTGCATCGAAGATAGAGTCGCCCCCCTCGATTCTATCTGTCAAACTTTCATAGTGAATCAAAACAAACATTGTGTAGTACTAGAATTTCGACTAGAATGGGGTACGTTAATCGTTTGCTTGGGACCAATAGGCTAGTCAAGTAATGAGCCAATTTAAAATCGTTAGTTTCGTATTGATTGTTGGGTATACTGTATAGAATTTTGTTGTTTTGTGTTCGTGGTTTGTAGTCCGTTACCTCCCTGATTTGGATTGACTATGAGCTACCAGTCTCCATGTATCCGGTTTCAAATATGAAAGTTCTACAGGATCAACAAAGTATTGTACGATGCCTGACTTTTTGAAATCGTAGAGCTTCGTGTAGCCTCATAATATCTCGTGGGATACATATTTGTAATGAAAAAGTATATACCATTTTCAAAATTATACTGAATTCTCTCAACCGATTGTCATTAAATTTTTAAAGAATCCAATACATTACATGTAATGTAATCCAAATACCCGAACTTTCTACTTAAATCCACCCATAAGGTTTTGTACAACGGATGAATCGACATTTTTTCAGCTTTCAACCATGATTTCAACATTTCTTGCTCCTCAGTGACAACTTTAGGATGCTTACGGAGTTCGTGTTTCATTATAATCCAGTATCTTTTGATCGGGCGCAACTCCGGTGTAATAAGGGATTGAGATCCTTTGTACGTCCTTGGTGTAGTGCCAAGAGGCTAGATCCAGCCAAAACATTGAAGGAACTTTGTGTGATTTGAGAAACGAAAGCAGTCGTTTCTTCAGGCACTCATTCATGTAGACTGGGCCATTTACGGTTGTAGTTATTACGAAAGACTTGCTCCAATTTTCGCACGAACAAATCGCCTGCCAAATCATGAATTTCATGGGGAACTTCGATACTAGCTGTTTCCTGAGGAACTCTGAAACATCGAACTTTCGCAGTCACATACTATTTTCCCGAAATTTGTTTGAAGTCTGCTTTTACGTATGTTTCATCATCCATGATACTGCAGTGTGGTTTTGTCATGGATACCAAAATTAATAAAGTGGAATTAAGGAAGATAACCTTGTTTTGCTGTTTTATTTTAGCATTCCGCTATCAACCCAATTTCAAAACATTAAGATTTGTGATCCTCAACGCAATACGGAACACTTTTGCACTTACTTGCTTCCGAGCGACAGTTGAACGTTCTCCAAAACGTTTTATGACACGAGAAACAGTAAATTGTTGGATTCCCAACATCTTTCCGATGGCTCGATGCGAAAGATGTTAGTTGTGTGAGTGTGCAAAATTTTCTTACGCACGCGCTGTTCCTTCGACTCTATGGACGAGTGCACCGATGGATTTAAGTTCACTCACTCGAGAAAAAGTGACATAAGCTGCGGGCAATGTTTACTAATCGTGAACACTAAATTTTCATGAATAATGAATAATGAACATTTAGTGTTCATGATTAGTAAACATTGCCCGCAGCTTGTGTCACTTTTTCTCGAGTTAGTGAACTTAAATTCATCGGTGCACTCGTCCATTTTCAAAACTACTATAATACACGTTGAGGCCATCTAGCACAAAATTTCATTGTAATTAACCCAAAGAGCAAGTGATGCAATTTAACTGTGAACACCTTTTAACAGGCTACAAGACCGTTTGAAGGGACCGAGATAACCATCGATATATAGTAAAGAGGGGTCACATTCCGAGATATTTATTTTGATTTTTTTGTGTGTGTTTTCAGACTAATTTGGCGGTTCTACAGGGTGTGCAATAAGTTCGAAAACAACTTGTCATCGTTGTGTAGGTGCGCACCATGTGCAGTCTGTGTATTGGTATTGGTGTCAGCTTTAAACGCTGTCCAGACTGGAGAATTATAACATGTTATAACGGTTGTCAAATAATTGCAACACAGAAACCACCATCAAGATAGCGCTATAACATGTTATAACTCTATAGTCTGAACGTACTATTAGCCTCATATATACACGCTTACTTCAGCTTACTCACCGGGTGAGTCGATCGTACTCAATTCAGTCTGATGCATTAGGTTGTCAAAATCTCAGTAAACGAGAAATGCCAAACTGAGTAAAAGCCACTCAGTCAGCCAAATCCGGGACATAGAAGAAAAAAATGTCATTCGTGTCGGAGCAAACGCTCTAGCAAACGGCGAAATTATTGCATAATACAGGCCGAAATGCATTAAGGTAAGCAGGAATTGCATGCTGAGACGGTTTTCAGTCGTCTTCAGCTCCAGTTGAATAAATCTGGAGCAGCTAATTTCAACTTTTCATCAGAACAAAAAAAAAACAATCTTCCCGGCTGAAAATATCTCAGAGTGGTTTTGGCTCACTCTGCGCGAGAACGTTGTTTACTCAAAATTGAGTAAAAGCGCACCCGAGCAAAGTCCAGCATCAAAATGACAGCAAATTGAAATCAAGTTTTGATATCAACATCAAACTGAAATCATAATTTGATTTCAGTTTACGCAACTGACAAATTTGATACTTAATTTTGTTTTCATTTTGCTGTAAATTTGCTCTTCAAAAATATGTTGTTGCGGGTTTGTTTGCATTGCCTAAGCAATACCTCAAATTTAATACTTGTTGTGTTATCAACAGGAAAAATGGATATCAAATTTGGTTTTCAGTTTGCTCTCACTGATAGCAGAAATAGTTTTCAATGTGATGTCACAGGAAGATTTTTTGCTCTAAATTTTGATATTTTAACCCTTAAAACGACAGCAACCTGAGTAATCATTATCAGCGAAATCAAATTCAGATTTTCAAATTTAGATTTCAATTTGATCTCAGACTTTGCTCGGGCACCTACTCACTTTTGAGTAGCCATACTTCCCACTGAAATGAGCATGTTTGACTCAATTTTGAGTTGTTGCGAGTTACCGTGTAGGCTAACCGAGGCGCACGGTGTCGACTTGCAATCATTTGTTGTTTGTTTACCGCGCACGATGAAGTAGTAATGTTGTTTGCGAGAAGTGAGCGACCCGGCGACATATTCCGGCGGTTGAAATCACACGGGGTGAAATGGAATTTCATCTATACCACCATCCGTCGGTACCAGGAGACGGGCTCGGCCAAGGACCGTGCGAGATCCGGGCGGCCGCGTTCGACGAGGACGCCAGCAGCCATCAAGTTGGTGAGGGAGTGGGTTCGTCGAAAAATGAACCGGTCGATCCGGAAGACCGCTGCTGACGTGGCTGTGTCGATCGGGACTACCCACACCATCATGACGAAGGACCTGAAATACAAGCCGTAAAAGAAACGCAAGGTTCACGGGGTAACGGAAGCTACAACGAAAAAAGGCTGGACCGAACCAAACTGATACTTTCGCGGCACGCAGGTCAAGAGTTCGTGTTTTCTAATGAGAAACACAGCAACAGCCACACAATGTACAAAATGATCGACTGTGGGCGCCGACGTTGGCCAGCATCTGCCCGGCGCAAATAAACATCCCGCGATTCCAGAGCGCCGCGGGGGGGGGGGGAGGGGGGCGGTGTTTTCCAGGCGTTTGAAGCTCCCACTAGTGTTTATCGAGAAAAACGTGAAAATCAACGCCGCGTACTATAAGACCGAGGTTCTGGAGAAGGTTGTTGTTCGGGACCTCTACGGGAAGGATCATTACGTCTTTCAACAGAACGGCGCACCTGCCCACACGGCGAATATAGTCCTAGCGTGGTTTCGGGAGAATTTGACTGATTTTCTCGATAAGACTTTGTGGCCTCCCAGCTCCCCGGACTTTAATCCCCTGGACTTTTATGTATGGTCGTACATGCTGGCCAAGCAGAGTGATTCTTTTGAGAAACGTCTCAAGCTCGTCATACAGCAAAAAGGGGGTGCTCCCACTTAATATGTCGTAAAGTTTCTTAATAAACATTGCTTCAATAAAAATTGACTCAGAGAAGAATATTTTGTATTTTCATTTTTAACACATTTTCAAAGTGTATTCGAACTTATTGAACACCAACCCTGTAGGTGACTTTGACGTTTAAAAGGCCATTTTGTTAATGTGTTTTTTTTTAATTTTCAATGTAAGGTGGCTATGGCTCAAACTGTTTTTGGTTATTTTAACATTTCATGGTTATTTTCGGCGATATTAAGGCAATTTATTATTTAATTTTAGTACTATTTTGACATTTTAAAGGCCAATTAAGTATTTAGTTTTGATGATTCAAGTTCATTTTGCCGTTTTAAAGCTAGCTCATTCTGACGTTTCTAGGAGATTCTAGATAATTTGACGTTTTAAGGTTATGTTGGTTCCTGATGAATGTGGGCGTGTGTTTTTTTAAATCTAGTTCGTTTATTTGGCGGACTTAATCGCGATAGCTTTACGGAGCCGATAATGCATTGATCATTGTTTTTAACAAAATTCGCTTATTTCTATGTCTAGTAGGAGTTGGGCCGAATACTCGCGGCTTACTTAGAGGTTAGAGGAGTATATTGTCGGATCAGGGGAGGAGCTTGGGCGTAAGGATTGTCTCCAGTATGACCGGTAGTGCGGTTCTAGCAACAATCAATACGAAACTAACGATTTTAAATTGGCTTACTACTTGACTAGCCTATTGGTCCCAAGCAAATCGATTTACGTTCCCCATTCTAGTCGAAATTCTAGTACTACACAATGTTTGTTTTGATTCGATATGAAAGTTTGACAGTGGACAGTGGATTTTCCTATGTTTCGAGGGGTGAATCGATTAGCTTGGGAACGAAGATAGTACCAGAGCTGAGCCACAAAGTTAAGTACGTTTCTTAGGGACCTTCTGGTCTTAGAGTTACCTCTTTGGTTTTAGATTCGTCTGGAGTTCGACCGACTATGGTGACCAGTGGACGACGATGAGACTCATCGAGACGGAGGAACACGAAAAAAACAAAAACTAATAAATAGAGAAAAAAAGACAAAGGAATTAAATTCTTATACTAGACATTTGCAGAAACTCATAAATTGACTACATATAGCAGATATCGCGGGTTACCAACACGTTTCTGATAGGGATATAGGGTTTTCTTTCTTGGACCTCGAGGGTGTTCAATAGTCGCCCTCGGGTGGCGTCATTATCCGATTATCGATTATCGTAATCGTTTCCACACCGACCACCGACAGATGTTGCTGTCTACGGGGTTATGCTGTGGAGATGTACATCTAGCGAGTATCGGTTGGACATAAGTCTACTCATCACGCGGGTACTCTGTGAATTTGCCTGTCATACAATTCGCCTTCCTGCGCGCCAACCTTTGCGAGAGCGTTCGCCTTGGGATTGAGCAGGGGGTCCGGTAAAGGAAATAAGATGTATGCCCACTTGGTTTCATCGACCGAATAGCCTCAATCGAACTGAGACTATCCGAGAAGATGAAGTAAAGGGCCGGAGGCATGTTGGAAACCATCCCCAATGCGAAGTAGATTGCTGCCAGCTCAGCAACAAAAACGGAACAAGGTTCCTGAATTTTGCGGGAGGCGCTAGAGTTTCCATTGAAGACACCGAATCGATTGAGACGGAACCCGTCTTTAAATATATTTTCACACAATTGACGTGTTGGTACTTTTCAGTAAAGGCTTTTTTTTTTGGGTTTCAGGTCATTATGAGCTTGAAAAATTGTTAGGTGTTTTAAAGAAATGTTGATGATTCAAGATCTTCTTCTTCTTCTTCTTCTTCTTCTTCTTCTTCTTCTTCTTCTTCGCATTTCAAGCTTATTGCATATCGCATATTAGCTTATTGCGTGCTCTCAACTTAGTCTTCTAGATGCACTTCCACAGTTGTTAATTGAGAGCTTTCGACCATTTTTGCATTGATATGATTGTGTGGCAAGTCCAATCATACTTCTATGCCCAGGGAAGTTGAGAAATTTTCCAACCCGAAAAATTGCTAAACTGAACCGGGAATCGAACCCAGCCACCTCCAGCATGGTCTTGCTTTGTAGCTGCGCCTTTAGCGACTGAGCTAAGGGAGGCCCCATGATTCAAGATCACATTTTGCTTATAATAGTTGTCTTCAATATACGTGGAAAGTTTGAGTTTGGCTAGAAGTCAGTAACACAATAATCTTCCTTTGTCAGCTTCGGAATTCCCATCGAATAACCACTCGAAAATTCAATTCTACTAGAAATTAGTCGCACTATCAGGAAGTCAGTTTGTTCAGTTTTACAACTTTCTCCGGTTGGAGACACACGTCGTTGCACTTGACGTTATCCGTTTCAAGTGTGTGTACCGAAGATTTATTTTATAGGCACACTCCTCGGTGATAATACTATCAGATTGTGTGATCCCAATTGATAGGAGGTTCGATTTTGCAATGGGGATGTATAAAAGCAAGTGCAGGTGCTCATTTTTTTGGACAGTTAAACCAAGAAGTTTCTACGATGTTGCGAGTTAGTGTAGTTCTGAGCGTATTGGCTGTGTCGGCTTTCGGAAGCGGTGAGTATGAAGTGTAGAACTAACCAAAGGACATCCCAAAAAAATAAAATGGAACAGTTCTTCCAGAAGGTGATCTTCTTTTGCCAACCTTGTCACGACCGCGCTACGGGCAGAACGGCGGGGTACCGTTGTCACTGAGAGGTAATCGTATTGTCGGAGGATTCGAAATCGACATCTCCGATGCTCCTCATCAAGTGTCGCTGCAATCGCGTGGAAGTCACATCTGTGGGGGATCGATCATCTCCGCCAAGTGGGTCATAACGGCAGCTCATTGCACGGATGGAGCGTCCGTGTCCAGTCTTGGAGTCAGGGTTGGATCTACAAAACATGCATCCGGTGGGAAAGTGATTTCCATCAGCCGAATCATTCAGCATCCGAAATTCAGCTACAACACCATCGATTATGACTATTCACTGCTGCAGTTGGCCACAGCAGTGTCATTGGGTAATAACTCTCAAGTGATTGACTTGCCGGAACAGGATGAACCCGTCCCGGATGGAACGCTGTGTGAAGTCTCCGGTTGGGGTAACACCCAGGTACAGTCCAAAGAAATCGTGGTGAATCGTTAAACATTCTAATTCTCATTTTCCCAACGACAGAGCATCACCCAGTCTCGCGATAAACTTCGAGCTGCCTACGTTCCATCCTACAACCAGGCGCAATGCAACAAAGCATATACAGCGTATGGTGGAGTTACGGATCGCATGATTTGTGCCGGTTTCCAGCAGGGTGGCAAGGATGCCTGCCAAGGGGACTCCGGTGGTCCACTGATCGCCAACGGAAAGCTCGTGGGAATTGTGTCGTGGGGTTTGGGCTGCGCCCAGCCCAACTATCCTGGCGTCTACGCTCGGGTGGCGGCTGCACGTGACTGGATCCGTAGTAACAGCGGTGTCTGATTCAAGTTCCACAAACATCAATTATGTCGATCAACGCGCGCGATTCAATGGACCTCGAGCACGGATTATGTTGCGAGCCTGTTAGTTTTAATTCTCGCTAATCGAATAAAGGCCTCGTAAATCATCGGTAAACATAATGTTTTCAATTTAGCAACACATTAGAAGTGATTCTTGAGCAATCACGCTTTGGGGTTCGTGTCACGCAAACGTTCCCTCCTCCTGGTTGGTGAGTACACGCGTGATGATGTAGCGACCGTAATTACCGGTTTCGTTCGAATGCCTATTCAATTTCGTGTTTCTGTCTCTGTTCTCTGGGGAGGAAGTGGAAACGTGGTGGAGTGTGCGATAAAATAGATGACTCGTTCGAGAACGGAATAGCTGTTTGCACTCACCCGTTTAATTTATTGCTGAAATTCGTGCAACAGGTAGCTGCCAGATTGAGCGTAGCAACGTATTTTACATTACGTGCTAGGGTGGTGTGTAAGCAACGGGAATGAATGGTTGTTTATTGTGTACTTTTCGTGTTACGACTAATTTTGTAGGTGTAACGGAGGGTGGAACAGTTTAGTCAATCTAGAGACGAACCAGCTGAAAGTGTCTATAAGTGTAGTCAATCAGAGCTTCATCCGATAAGATTGTTATTTCGAGAATCAATGTGTATGTAATCAATTACTTTAAACATCGATTGCTCACGAATGACAACACATCGATAGAGTAAACTTCCTCTACCAAATGCTGCTGTTGGATTGCCTGGATGAATCTCCATCCGCGAGAAAACGACGATTAAAGTGAAATAAGCTGAACAACAACCAACCTGATGACCTCTAGCCCTTCATCAATCTTCAATCAATCTTGGTGACCTCTAAACCTTCATCAATCTTCACAATTTTTTGAAATTATGAATCACACTGGAGGGTGGTCTATAGTAAATTTATCACTTTTTTTTTTAAATGTGGCACCCAATATTTAATTTTAACTAATTGAATACTCTAGGTGTAGCTCGGAGATGACTCACCCTAGAAGTCGTAAACTTATTCTGGACATCCTTTGGAGTTATCCACAAAGCCCTAAACATTTTGCTTGGTTAACCTGAAAAGTTCTGGGGATCTATCCTGGAAGCCCACTGGATTCACGCTTTGTCGCCTTTGCCACAGTTCGGACAGTTTGTCTAGCGACCGAATCGACATGAATGCACATTTGTATTCGGTTGTAGATCCTTGAAACATTCCCATTGTGTATGCCTACAAATTTGATTGTGCAATGTTGGGAGATGTAATAAGGGGTACGCTGAGTGACTTCGTCGCCGTTGATTCGGAGAACTTTGTTGATGGGTTCAGAGTGCTCTGTGAAGAGAGCTTTGAGGATCGATGGGTGAGGACTTTGAAAGTCTTCAGAGGACTGTAAGATTGATGTACGGGACCACAGGATCTAGGTTCAGCATGATCCAGGACATATCCTATTAGCAATTACGGAATTTTTGTGGGACTACATAGGAATTTTGTGGCAGGAGCGCAGAATTTCAAGAGTGCGCAACAACAACCACAGGGTCCTGCCTGCAGTAGAAATGCATATGCGAAACTTATCTGGATCACAAACTATTTCCGAAGTATGACTGAAGGCATCACATCTACATAAGATCGTGAACTTGGTAAGATTTAACGTGTGAAATTGGGTGATGGCAGGAGTCATTTGTCATTTGTTTATTTGTTTATTTGTTTATTTAATAATTCAACTGACAATTAATGTCTTAATGAATAAAACTTAATCTAAATAGTTATGGTCAACAAAACGAAAACCATCCCACTGCGTCCTAGCAAGAAGTACGGTCGACTTGTTTCGCGCTCCGTTGTTTTGGAAGTTTTTTCGGTATTCGCTTGATATAATTTATCAGTTTTTTTCTCACTAAGTGACTCCTGGCATAGTTCCCGGTAAATTGATCGAAAAGTGAGTTTTTTTTAGTAGAAAGTGTCATTTTCGGAAAGATTAATCCGTGCTATTGGAAATTTGCAAACAAATTTGGGCATCATCGTTGCGTGGTCACGCATACGCGCTTACGCATACCCGCTCACGTATCATCATCATCGAGTGTGAGCACCCGTTTCTACATCTATATCGTTCATCATTCATCGTGCGCCTGTGTGCGCTGAGTGCCGCGCCTCGATCAAGTGCACCACAGCGAAGGTCATCCACGCTGCGCGTCGCTTCCCAGCCATCGGTGTAAACGCCTACACATATAACGCTCGGTGGTAGTAGTATAGGATTATCAGATAAGTTTTTGTTTTTTTCTTGTTTCTTTTACTCCCCCATTAGTTAAATTTTCATTTTGTATTTCTGTGTTTGTAGTGTTTTCTGTGTATTGTGTCTGTGCGTTCAGTGGGAGAGCGTTTTGCGCTCCCACTAGTTGAACAAAATGGATGTTTTGTCAGAAGACGACATGGATGACCATTCATCTCAGAAGAATGATGATGTCATCCCTGGTTCGTCGTCTCAGTCTGTCGATGGGCAGGCTGAGAAAAGCACCAGATTGCGGGCCTACCCAAATGACTCGACTGGCCCATGGGTTGTCTATTTTCAGCCCAAAAACAAACCCTTGAATGTTGTTCAGATATCTGATGATCTGACAAAGCGATTCTCTGCCGTGACCGAAATAACGAAGGTTAGGCACAACAAACTTCGTGTGACCGTCGCTAACCTGAAACAGGCCAATGAAATTGCTGTTTCCCAATTTTTCACACTGGAATATAGGGTGTACATTCCAGCCTCTGATGTGGAGATCGAAGGCGTGGTCACTGAGGCGAGTCTGAACCCCGAGATAATGGAGAAGCAAGCGGTTGGCCGATTCAAGAACCCCTTGCTTCCTCCGGTAAAGATACTGGCCGTTCATAGAATGAAGTCAGTATCGCTCAGCGAGGGTAAAAAGAGTTTTACCCCCACAGACTCGTTTCGGGTGACCTTTTCTGGATCTGCCCTTCCTCAATACATCGAGCTGGGAAAACTTCGTCTTCCTGTGCGGTTGTTTGTACCTCGGGTCATGAACTGCCAGCATTGTAAGCGGTTGGGACATACGGCCTCCCACTGCGGCAACAAGGCACGCTGCTCCACATGCGGGGAGAAGCATGAGGATGGCGCCTGCGCAGCTACTGCACCAAAATGCGTGTACTGCAACGGAACTCCTCCTCATGCTCTCTCGTCGTGCCCGGCGTACAAACAGCTCGGGGACAAAATGAAACGCTCCCTTAAGGAACGTTCCAGGCGGTCTTTTGCAGAAATGCTTAAGACAGCCACGCCATCGACCAATGACAAAAATCCCTTTTCTCTTTTGTCAGATGACGAGACTGACTCTGACTTGGCTGAGGAGGGAACTTCTTTCAGTTTTCCGGAAGGTTCTGCACGGAAACGAAAGCGCATCCGTTCGCGGATTGTTGCAAATAAAGAACCCCAAATCAGCTTGCCTAAATCAAGGAGTGGTGGAAAAAAGGAGACTTCTACTCCTCCTGGATTCCGCAGAACTGACTATACCCAGGATTTTCCACCACTTCCGGGGACATCCAAAACCCCTGATGCCCCAATTTTAAGAACAGAAACCCCTTCTTCATCTGGGTTGTTCTCATTTGATGACATTGTGGACGGTATTCTCAAATACCTCAACATTTCTGATCCTCTGAAAAGCATTGTCCTCACATTGCTTCCCACTGTGAAATCCTTCTTGAAGCAATTGACTTCAAAATGGCCCCTTCTTGCAGCTATCATCTCCTTCGATGGATAATTTTCCAAACGAGGTCGGGGATTTGATCACTGTTCTACAGTGGAATTGTCGAAGTCTTATTCCGAAATTAGATTCGTTCAAGTATTTAGTCCATAACAATAATTGCGATGCATTTGCCCTCTGTGAAACATGGCTCTCTTCAGAAATTGATCTCCCTTTTTACGATTTTAACATTATTCGATTGGATCGTGAGGATTCACGTGGAGGAGGGGTACTTTTGGGGATCAAAAAGTGCCATTCCTTCTATAGAGTGAATCTTCCCGAATTCCCCGGTATTGAAGTTGTCGCATGTCAGGCTACCATTAAAGGTAAGAGCCTTTGTATTGCTTCTGTATATATTGCTCCTAGAGTTTCTGTTAATCGCAAACAACTTTTCGACATATGTGCGGTACTTCCCGCTCCATGGTTGATCATGGGAGATTTTAACTCCCACGGTACAGGCTGGGGGGAACTGTACGATGATAACCGTTCTACTTTGATTTATGATCTCTGCGACAACTTCAACATGACAATACTTAACAATGGAGAAGTAACACGTTTGGCTGGTCCATCCTCGAATGGTAACAGATTAGACCTCACCTTTTGCTCCAATTCACTATCGTTGGATTGCACTTGGCATGTAATCCAGGATCCGCACGGTAGTGATCATTTGCCGATCAAAATTTCGATTGCCAGTGGGTTCAACTCGTCAGAATCCGTTAACGTCGCGTATGATCTAACCCGAAACATCGATTGGACTAAGTTCCAATCCGTGATAGACGATACAGTATCGTCAGTGGAAGAGCTTCCGCCGTTGGAGGAATATAATTTCCTCTCTAATCTCATCGTCGACAGCGCACTTCAAGCTCAAACACGACCGGTGCCGCGATCGTCTATTCGTAAGAAAACACCATCGCTCTGGTGGGATCAACAATGCACGGAGGTTTACCGTAAAAAGTCCGACGCGTTTAAACTTTTTCGGAAACGCGGAACACGCGAGCATTTCGGCGCATACACATCTCTTGAACGCGAACTCAAGAGCCTCATCAAGGCCAAAAAACGGGGTTACTGGCGGCAGTTTGTAGACGGATTGTCGCGCGAAACGTCTATGAATACGCTTTGGAGTACGGCGCGAAGAATGCGTAACCGGTCTACTAACAACGAAAGCGAGGAATGCTCAGATCAATGGATTCTTAAATTCGCGCGAAAAGTGTGTCCAGATTCCGTGCCGTCGCAGTTGATTCCTCACGAAACCGCGAATTCGGTAGACGAAATCAGTCAGCCTTTTTCAATGGTCGAACTTTCACTCGCTCTCATTTCGTGTGGCAATTCTGCCCCGGGATCTGATAGAATCAAGTTCAACTTGCTGAAAAACCTCGCAGACGTCGCTAA